AAACAATGGTTCAAGAAGATTTATTGTTTATAAACAATGTTTCGAGAAGATTTATTGTTTATAAACAATGTTTCGAGAAGATTTATTGTTTATAAACAATGGTTCAAGAAGATTTATTGTTTATAAACAATGTTTCGAGAAGATTTATTGTTTATAAACAATGGTTCAAGAAGATTTATTGTTTATAAACAATGTTTCGAGAGGAGTTTCTTTTTTTTCTTTCAAAATCCACTACTTTTTTTTAGCAGACTAGGTTTCTATGTTGATGTCGCAGAATTCGACATCAAAATCTTTGAATTTGGTGTTTCAGATCCCCCTGGTGTTGCTACAGTGCTACCTCCAGACCAAAGAATAGTTAAAGGACATCCAGTAACTTTGTACTGTGAGGTCAGTGACCTGGGATTTCCGCTGGCTGGTTTTTATCACTGGGAAAAAGATGGCGTGGTGCTGAATTCCACTTCTAATTTATATATCAGCGAGCCCGTTTCGGTGGCGACTGAAGGCAATTACTCTTGCTCTGCAGTGAATGAAGTGGCGATTGGAAGCTCAGTCCTTTACCATCTGGATGCCTTTGGTAAGAGCTTAATGGTAGGATAGCTCCCCCGACAAATTGTGTCGCTCCACAAATTGAATTTGGTCACGATGCTTAAGACTTAAGTATGTTTTCCTATCCTACAATTGGTTACTCAGACGGAAAGTTAAAATATTAGACATATTTTATTGACCTATGACTATGCCTCTGTGTTACTTATTTGGACAGAGAGTTATGAGTTAAATACACTTGTTCTATGTCTCAGTGTTATTTATTTGGACGAAGAGTTATGAGATAAGTAATGAATGTGTCACGTGTATCTCTATCACCTACTGAGATAGAAATGTATGAGTTTATAGGTACATGTGTGATTTATTTGAACTGAGAATTAAAAAGTTAAACAAATTTTCCCCATGGCTTTGCATTAGCTCTAAAGACAGAAAGTTAATAGTCGACCCAATATTTCCTGACCCATAATTCTGTATTAATTGTAAAGACAACATTAAGAGGAATTACTGAAAGCTAGCTTTCTGTACAGCGGTTTTCTGTGCACAACTTGATACATATTTATAATTTTTTTACCGTAAACTAATACCATTTCATGGTATCATTCATAAAATGTATTTTTCACATAGCACCTCCCAGGTTTGTGGAGAAGTTACCTGCCATAGGGGGTGCTCTACGAAATATTCACACTGTAAACTTAAGGTGCAGGGTGGAGTGCGAACCTTTATGTGACGTCATGTGGTATAGAAATGATGAGAACCTCAATGGTTCGAAGTTTTTCTTCAGTGAAACGGTTGAACAACCACCAGACATCGAGAGGAACACATTCAAGTCTGTAATTAGTGTTTTATCTTGGAACATGAGTCTCCTGCCTTCCCTGAGTTTTGACTTCAACAACTTCACTTGTAAAACTACGGCTAATAAAGTGGGTAAAGGCGTTTCTAGCAGCATGATCTTCCGTCTAGAATGTAAGTACAAATTCATGTTCTCCTTGTCTAGTAATTATGTTTCCTTCCCTTCTGAAACAGCACAAGCGTATTAGTTGTTAATCACTTCAGGTTGAAGGTGTCCCAGAACGTCTGAACAAGAACAATAATCGGTCTTAAATTGTGTATTAGCATTTAATATTCTAAAGGACGTGGTTGTTCAATTAGTGATTAAACGCAAAGTCTCAAGTCTTAATATTATAGATTAATGAACAAGTCGTGCCACAAATAATACAATAATTATGTTACTATTAGAAGTAAATATTAATTTGGCTTTTTAAACTCAGGAATCTGGGATAAACATATATATATATATATATGAACACAGACAGATCTAGTAGCTTGCTCTGGTCAACATACAACAACAGATGAACACAGACCTAGACAGATCTAGTAGCTTGATCTGGTTAATATACAACAACAGATGAACACAGACGTAGACAGATCTAGTAGTTTGATCTGGTTAATATACAACAACAGATGAACACAGACATAGACAGATCTAGTAGTTTGATCTGGTTAATATACAACAACAGATGAACACAGACCTAGACAGATCTAGTACTTTGCTAGATCGATAATAGTGAATATCATCCAATGCAAGTTTCTTTGTCTTAAGGTGTGGTGATCTGTATTGTGTAATCATCTTCACACTATTGCTGACTGGTTTTTTGTTGCAGCAAAAACTCATAAAAAAGAAGAAAAGAACACCTGTAAAACTGTGTTACTCTGTAAGACAACTAGTCATTGGAAAGAAAATCGTTTATGAAAGATAGGTATCGCGATGAAAATTCTTACTGGTATTGGATAGGTACAAGCAAAGACTATTTCTCTTGATAAACAAGCGAAAGCTGCCATTTTATAAATGTTTATATTATTAATCTCATCCACAAGAACGTACCGAAAAACCATCTAGAAGACGATAAAATGTTCAAACACTTTGGAATATTAAAAATACAACACTAACATACTCAGAAAAACAAAATAAGATTCGATCCTAAAACATCACAAATTGCCACCACGGGAGTGAAACGTGTTAGTTTTGGTTTCATTTTTGCATATCCCAAATGTTTATTGCAGTGTTTTCGACTCTTCTGTACCGTGCGTAACTTGGGTTTTAGAGGACTTGTCCCGTCGGGAGAACGTGCAACCTAATGGTATTGATTACACTATTTCAGATCCTCCTGAGGACATCAAGATTTCGATGGTTCAGCTGGAGATTTTGGAGGGAGAGGTCCCGGAGGATCTGGTGTGTTCAGCCTCTGCTCATCCCGATGGAGAATACATTTGGCTCCAGAAAGGCGAACCTGTTTCCCAAGGTCCGGTGTTGTCGTTTAATTCGTCTTTGTCTAAGGAAATGGCGGGAAACTACACATGTGTTGTCAGCAACAGACACGGTAGAGCGAAAACCGCGGCTGTGATTCGGGTTCTTCGTGAGTGGCTTTTCTTTGATTTATATATTTGTTACTCTGTAGTTAAATTTCTGAGTTGTTTCTTTGGATTAACAGCGAATCTAGATAGTATTCCGAATATTCATCTTGTGTGATTTTTTTACTTTGACTAAGTCAGTATAAATCGTAAGTTTGTATTTTTACTGAGCACCTGAGTTGACCTCATGATACAATATGATGTTTTTTTATTGTGTACTAATACCACGTGTTACCGCTAGAACTTCGAAGAATTAAATGCCCTGCAATACACAAGATTGCACTGTTTTAAGCCGAGAAGACTCAGTGTATTATTTTCCAACCGTGTGTTCTATTAAAGACCATTAATTTATCAACCTTGTAATCAGTTGCAATATTTACTTGTTGCGCCGGTGGATGTGCTGATTGCTGGGTACGTTCCTCTCTTAATTAGAAACCATAACCCTTGTGATTACTCTTAATTCAAGTGAACGTTCAGTGTGTAATTCTGGAGAATAATGATATTGCGGAGAACGGATGACGGATTATCATCAACACACGACGGTTAATTTATGAGTTTAATTCTGATAAGAAATCTCGACAGAATACTGATATAATTCAACTTTATTAAAAGGTAAATTTCAAACCTTTGGTGTGATATCTCTTCAAGTATATTTGTTCCTTCTAATCTATGTGAACAGTATTAATGTAAACTTTGCTTTTCTACGAACAGATAAGCCTGAGTGCATGATAAGAAGAGGATACGACCAGTCTGGAACCCTGATTTTAACCTGTCAGGCCCATTCCCAACCTGGTGTCGTGAACTTCACGTGGTACAGGAACAACTCGACTGTCCATGTTTACCACGTGACTGATGGAGCTAGTCACAGCGTCTTGAAGCTCTCTAAAGAAAGGTCAAGCAGCACCAGTAGCTACTCCTGTGTTGCAGCGAATGTGATTGGCCAGTCCGATCCGTGTTACGTCCCTCTCACCGACTTTCCGTGTATGTGATGTTTCTCATAATATTCAGAATAAATAAATAAATCGTTCTTATAGACATAAAGTCGAGCAACGACAACTTCGTTGGTAGCTGTGGTAGAAGTTTGTTTTTTCTATACAGTGAAACGACGTTTCGCTTCTTTACTGAGCCCTTCCTCAGGTCGATACGTAGAAAGAGGCACGAGCAGTCCGTTAGAACCAAACCTATATTACGTTTACACTGATTGAAACAATATTCATAGGAAAGTGGCTAATTATATGACGTTTTGAATCTCTTTTATATTCTCTGTTTAAATTCTTGTAAACAGCAGAATAAGGCTTAAGAGTGGTTAAACAATCAAACTTTATTGCATGTTGGAAACAATACAGCGTTTAGTTATATAGTTAAATAGCTATTGGAATGTATATATATATATATATATAAAATTAGTAATATCAACAATAATAATAACATTATTGCATCATGTGTATTAGGGAGAAATTTTAACATCTCATAGCTATGTTGTTGTTAAGCGCAAAGCCACACAATGGCTGTGCCTTCCACGGGTATCGAATCCCTGCTTTTAGCGTTATAAGCCTTCAGACTTATCGCTGATCTAATGGGGGGGGGCATAACAGTGTACAGTGATAAGTATATTCATTTGTTACAAGTTAGTTCCCCGATGGCTCAGTAATGAGTTACAGCTTACAACGCCAAATATCGGGTTTCGATACCCTCGATGGGCAGATCACAGATAGCATATTGTGTAGTTTTTGCTTAATAACAAACAGTCAACTGTAACAAGTTAAACTGAAAACATTAATTACATTAATTGTTTCAGTTAAATTAAAGAAGCGACAAAAAATATGTATTAATATTTTCAATTTCAATGTTTATGTATGTACACTTTTATCAGTATGTAGTGTTGAGTGTCGTATTTCGGGTGTAACTATGGTAAAAATGTGTATATCTACCAGATGAAAAGAAAATATAGTAAAGTGTAATAAGATTACTTAAATATTTCACATTTTAATCTATCATATTTCAATAATTCTTGTTGTTTCAAGATGTTACGTTTTCTATAAAGTTGAACCCTTTGGAATTCGAAAAGATTAGAAACGAGGAAACGTTTTTAACCTTCGAAATTTTCATTAAACCGTTGCTAACTGCCTATTAAGCCTATTTTATAAAACAAATAAAATAAACACGATACACAATAAAGAGAGTGTTTTTCACTTAAGCAATGATATTTATCCTTATTGAAACAAGGTTCGGCAGCCAGATCTCAAACGGTAGTATAGATAATGTGTTTACTTAACGACCCCAGCTATAATCTTAATGACCTTTAATGAATCCTGCTTCATTTACGGTTTTTCCTCACTTAGCGCCGGAAGGATGGGTCCAGCTGTTGCTGAGAGAAGAGAATCTCGTCATTGTGGCGGGAGTTGCTGGGGGGTTAGTAGTTCTAGTGGTGGTCTTAGTAACCTGTTTGATTGCCGTCCTGCTTAAACGACGAATGCGAGGTACGATCAGAAGCTGTTTTATCTGAGTTTATACGTAACAATCACAGAAGTCCGATCCCTCAGGATTCATTTACTACTAAGAATACGAACTGTTTTTGGTTAGAATAGAATTGTGTTTTTATATGATATTAGGATTGTTAACTCAAAGTATTGAATTCTATTATTGTTGATGAATTCTAGTCTTCATATGTCGTCAATAATGAGTATTTATTGTTGGTCAAATATTAACGTGAATTAGGCGCTTCAGGTATGGTTGTAAACCAATTAATTTCATTTGTCATCATAATTTAGTATTAAACCTATTGTAGTTTTAACACTGCATTGTATATTTAAGGGACTAGATATAGATTGCGAAATTATAAAAATTAATAGGCCTAATACTAATGTTTGATAACAGGTAAATTAATTATAATCATGAAAATGATGTTCAAATAATTACAATAAGAAGTTTACATTTAACTTGATTATACAACGGTACGTCAATGATGTGTTCTTTGTGTTAAATACTTTCCATAAGAGTAAATGGTGTGTTGTTTATGTTAAATACTTTCCATAAGAGTAAATGGTGTGTTGTTTATGTTAAATACTTTCCATAAGAGTAAATGATGTGTTCTTTGTGTTAAATACTTTCCATAAGAGTAAATGATGTGTTGTTTGTGTTAAATACTTTCCATGAGAGTAAATGATGTGTTGTTTGTGTTAACTACTTTCCATAAGAGTAAATGATGTTTTGTTTGTGTTGAATACTTTCCATAAGAGTAAATGATGTGTTGTTTGTGTTAAATACTTTCCATAAGAGTAAATGGTGTGTTGTTTATGTTAAATACTTTCCACAACAATAAGGGATGTATTGTTTACATGAGATACTTTCCAAAACAGCCAATGATGTAATATTTATCTGAAATATTTTCCACAACAACCAGGGATGTATTGTTTATATGAGATACTTTCCACAACAGCCAATGATGTATTATTTATATGAAATACTTCTCACAACAAGCAATGATGTAATATTTATATGAAATATTTTCCACAACAACCAGTGATGTATTATTTATATGATGTACTTCCCACAACGACCAATGATGTAATATTTATATGAAATATTTTCCACAACAAACAGTGATGTGATAATCATTAATGAATTGTAACAAGGAATCCTTCAATTTGAATAACTGAGGTTAAAAGTTCGAGAAATTTCCCGAAACTATGTTTAAGTTATAACAACCTAACTGTATTATCTTTGGAAATTTATCTTAAATATTTGAAGCTATTTATTCAATAGCGCTAATTTACCCTTGTTAGAATGCTACTCCATTCCAAGCGTGCAAGAGAGCAGAGATAAACTTATTATAATCTGTCTCGGCTGAGCTTGGAGACGCCATGTTGCTGGTTGCCATGAAAATCGGTAATTTATTTTGAGCAAATAACTATAGTAACATTAACAATTGTTCAAGACGTCACTACACATAATTTACTACCTACATTGACTTAAAGATAAATTTCAGTCTTATGTTCTTACATATGAAATTTAATCTTAATGACAATTGTAAAAAAAAAAGGAGTGATTAAAAAAGTGGACTTAAATTGTGTTGGTGTTTGTTTTCAGGAAACAGAAAGACAGATTTAGTGCAACGTCAAATGTGAGTATTACGTTATTTGTCAATGAAATACGCTAAATCATTTAAGGCAAGACATCAGTACAAATGTATATATCCTAGTTATACGTATAATCGGAGAACTTTCAGAAAAATTGGTAACTTTAGTGGATATCAAATATCCTTAAGGGAGCTGTAATTCGTAAACTTTATCAACGGGTCTAAATTATATAACAAGAAATACAGGATAGACCTAACAGGCATTAAACCCACAAGGAGGTATTGAGAGACATTAAAAAACTGCCTTTGTATTTTTTACGCAGACCCGAGGGGAAGGAATTAACTGCCGATGACACCCCAGGTGGAGCATCCCCTCTATTGACTACCCTCGATAAACCTGATGGCAGTCCTCTATTGAGACACATTGTTGGAGGTATAAAATGTAACGTTATTATCCTATTATTTCAATGTTTGTTAAACTAATATTGAGACGCATTGTTGGACCAACAATGTGTCTCAATATTAGTTTAACAAACATTGAAATAATAGGATAATAACGTTACATTTTATACCAGGTATAAAACGTAACGTTATTATCCTATTATTTCAATGTTTGTTAAACTAATATTGAGACGCATTGTTGGAGTTATAAAATGTATTAGAGTTGTTTCTTGGAAACAGTTGTTGCCTTCTACATTGAGTAGTTATGTTTTGTTCTTGGGGGGGGGGGATAGGTGTTGTTCTTCACAAGATAGTTTTATATTAAGTTTTTGGAGATTTTTGCTCTCTAAAATAGTACATTTTTGGATGTTTATGCTTTACTTTATGAGGTGAGACATATGTTTGTTGCAGTGTACGTTAACACAATAACTTTTATATCTTTGGATAGACCGAAACTGTGCTGATGTGGCAAGTGAAGACCACGTGATCTCCCGAAACTTTCCTTTAAGCCGAAGTGGAAACGACCGCAGATGACAAGATAATTAAAGCAGGTTAGTTGTAGTACCACATTAATAGTCTTATCCTAAGATAGTTACAAACGTTAATCAACTTAAAAACACTTCATTTATTTTGTGTTCTAGAATAATACCAACCTTAGGCAATTAAAACGTTTATTTTGTGTTCTAGTATACTACCAACCTTAGTCAATTCAAGATGCTTCCTCCTAGCTGTGTTTTAGAATACTACCAACCTTAGTCAATTCAAGATGCTTCCTCCTAGCTGTGTTCTAGAATACTACCAACCTTAGTCAATTCAAGATGTTTCCTCCTAGCTGTGTTCTAGAATACTAACTAACCTTAGTCAATTCAAGATGTTTCCTCCTAGCTGTGTTCTAGAATACTACCAACCTTTGTCAAGTCAAGATGTTTCCTCCGATAATAATACCAGTTGTAAAACTTCTCAGTTATTTTTCACATACTACATTGCTAGATATAGTGCACTAAAAATAAAGCTAGCCAAAAAAGATGCTTGAGCTTCAAGACGTTTTAATAAAAACCAAAGGACGTATTTACAGTATAATTCTCACATCTTTAGAACCAATTTATATTAAGTTTGAAATAGACTATTAATCAAGGAGTTTGGTTTATTTTCCATAAAAAAAAACCATAAATACAATATTTTTGTTGTGGTTCGACCCGAATCTTATATCTATGTCATTAAGTGTCAGTATCATGCACTCCAAACTTTTTTGATTTACTTACAATGTACTTAGAAATTTACAAAAACCTTTACTGAAAATAAATTAATCAACATATACATCACGAGTTATTTCTTGATGAAAATAAGAGTAAAATAATTGTGATGTCAAGAACAGACTATCCTACTCTAGTGAGCAATAATTATATTTCTTATCTCTTAAAATCAGATCATAGTATAGATCAAATAAAGGTTTATAAGCATATGTTGTTTTTCAGCACTGATCACCCCCTCAGAAACATTGGATCTTCCTTGCTCACCATTTGGACGAGGAGACGCTGATTGTTTAGACGTGTATGTTATAAAAAAGAAAGAGGGGTGATAAGGTTTTGAATAAGTAACCGGTAAGAGTTAAAAATGCTGGATTTTTTATGAGAGAAATATTTATTTTTAGATACTTTCTCCCAGACGTTTTAAGAGATGCTGACGGAACTATGGTGATGGAATTATTAGTAATTAAGAAATGTTTAAAGAACAATTTGTCCTTAATTTGAAGCTATTTCTAAAACGTGTATGTACGTATATTTGAGCCCAAGAAAATAATAAAAACCGGTACGAAGTGACCTATTTAACCATGTATTCTGTCTATTGATATTTATTAATCATGTATTGTCTCTATATAAACCGGTACGAAAACACCATTTAACCATCAATTCTATCTATATAAACCGGTACGAAAACACCATTTAACCATCTATTCTATCTATATAAACCGGTACGAAATCACCATTTAACCATCTATTATATCTATATAAACCGGTACGAAGTGACAATTTAACCATATATTCTATCTATATAAACCGGTACGAAGTGAACATTTAACCATATATTCTGTCTATAAAAACCGGTACAAAAACACCATTTAACCATCAATTCTATCTATATAAACCGGTACAAAGTGAACATTTAACTATATATTCTATCTATATAAACCGGTACGAAAACACCATTTAACCATCTATTCTATCTATATAAACCGGTACAAAGTGAACATTTAACCATATATTTTGTCTATAAAAACCGGTACGAAGTGACCATTTAACCATCTATTCTATTTATATAAACCGGTAAAAAGTGAACATTAACCATATATTCTATCTATATAAACCGGTACGAAAGTGAACATTTAACCATATATTCTATCTATAAAAACCGGTACAAAGTGAACATTTAACCATATAGTCTATCTATGAAAACCGGTACGAAGTGACCTATTTAACTATGTATTCTGTCTATAAAACCCGGTACGAAGTGACCATTTAACCATCTATTCTATCTATATAAACCTGTACAAAGTGACCTATTTAACAATGCATTCTGTCTATAAAACCCGGTATGAAGTGACTTATTTAACTACGTATTCTGTTTATAAAACCCTGTACGAAATGACCATTTAACCATGTATTCTGTCTATAAAACCCGGTACAAAGTGCACATTTAACCACGTATTCTGTCTATAAAACCCGTACGAAATGACCATTTAACAATGTATTCTGTCTATAAAAACCGGTATGAAGTGACCTATTTAACCATGTATTCTGTCTATAAAACTAGGTACGAAGTGACCTATTTAACCATGTATTCTGTGTATAAAACCCGGTACGAAATAACCATTTAACCATGTATTCTCTCTATAAAAACCGGTACGAAGTGACCTATTTAACCATGTATTCTGTCTATAAAAACCGGTATGAAGAGACCGTTTAACCATGTATTCTCTCTATAAAAACCGGTATGAAGAGACCGTTTAACCATGTATTCTGTCTATAAAACCCGGTACGAAGTGACCTATTTAACCATGTATTCTGTCTATAAAACCCGGTACGAAGTGATCTATTTAACCATGTATTCTGTCTATAAAACCCGGTATGAAGTGACTTATTTAACTACGTATTCTGTCTATAAAACCCGGCATGAAGTGACTTATTTAACCATGTATTCTGTCTATAAAAACCGGTACGAAATGACCATTTAACTATGTATTCTGTCTATAAAACCCGGTACGAAGTGACCTATTTAACCATGTATTCTGTGTAATGATATTTATCCTAAGGAACTAAGTTCACAATACCATCACAAATATATTAATACTTTAATTCAGTGGTTCCCCAGGTTTTTTAGAACAAGCTCCTCCCCAGAATTTTCAACATCCATACTGATGTCCCCCACCAAATGAACCTATACATACTGCATCCGCCAGTTCAGAATCTCTGCTTTAATTAACACAAAGCTACGTGTTATCTACCTGTCAATCTTCGTCCTGTATATCTATACTTCTTTCTCATTAAGCCTTCTGCTCCCTCTATACATGCAGACAGAGTATGTAAAAAAGTTACCATGTTGGAGATGTTTAAAATCGATATTTCTATCTTTGGAGAGAAAAAAATGGATGGGCTACTAAAGTTATTTACTGGCATGGTTTTTAAATGTAACTCTAGCAATGTTATCATGGGTTGTAACTAATATTCTGTAGTTCTAAGCACTTGGTTATCAATACTTTGAACACACCTTTTCCATAAATACAAAAATCAAACGTTCTTCGCAAGATGTCGAGAAAGGTATTATTTTCCTTTTTTTTTGTTTGATTGAAGAATAGACTATTCGTTTATTCGTCGATGAAATTAGTTTGTTTCGATAACGTAAAAATTACACAAACAAACACTCCATTAATCTATTAGCACGACGTATTCCCAGTGTTTCTTTTTGAGTCTTGTAACCTTTATTGAGCTTCAAAAAGCGATTTTATGATTCGGGAAAACGCCTGTAGGCACATAAGTAAACCCCGGAGATTCAAATCAGTCATTTCCGTGCGTGAGCAATAAAACTCATACAGACAAGAGCTTATCACTTCATAAAACTAACAGACGTTGTGAATCATTTTTCTGGTAAGTTCTACTTTGTGATTTTTGAAACTGAAAACTAAATTATCTCGTGTTATTCTAATGTACTCAGTACTTCTAAAGGCTATAAACTTTATAAATTACGGAGAGTAAATTACAAATAAACAATATATATATACATTCGTTGCCTCATTAGAATTCCAAATGAGAAACCAGATCTTTGCGTATCATATTAACAAAAATTTTGAAAAAGTTTTAAAACGTTCTCATCATATAAGTGCCATTGTGATGTCAGCTCAAATATTTCAAACTTCCTAATTAAAGGCGGCATATACAGGACTTATTTGGATTAACCTATCAGTGGCAGTGTGTCTTTGAGTCCATGAAATCATCCAATTATTGATTGCAACTGTTGGAATCCCTCAGATTAATCATTCGATGGCAGTCTTCGTATTAACTTCATAGAAAGTTACCATGTTTCCACGTAGACATTAATTTCCTTGTCATTATACACTTTTATTAGGCCTATTGTATTTTTTAACATTGCAAGCCCCCTCCCCCCAGTGGCACAGCGGTATGTTTGCGGAATTACAACGCTAGAATCCGGGTTTCGATACCATGGTGGGCAGAGCACAGTTTGCCCATTGTGTAGCTTTGTGCTTAATTGCAAACAAACAAAAACTAAAGAGAGCGTATGACAATAGCATTCCAACCACATGTGTTCGCCATACCCATTGCCAACGACGCGTTTGGCCACAATCCATACACAACAAACGCAGTGTTGGACGAAACACCATTTATATAAACCGTTTGTTACAAAAACAGTTGTTATGGCGTAAACGCTTTTTTTCAAAGTATGCAAAGAATGGTTGTAATTAATTATAATTGTCATAAAACATTAGAATTATGCCTATTATATTATATTATTCTTTATCTAGCCGTTTAGGGATTTCCAAGAATTATAAGAGTGTATCATAATATTCCAATCACAAAGGCTTTACGTGTTAAAACTTATATAAATTAGGATGTCTACATTTTTAACAGGTAATCTCTGACTTAACTAGATCGCGATTATTAACAATTTAAATCCAGAATGTTGTTGTACTTCCTGCAACAAGTTTATCAGAATATCTTACGACGAATCGAACAATGTTGAGTAAGTCATTGTTTTAGAGCAAAGCCACATTGGACAATCTGCTGTTTTTACCGAGGGGAATCGAACCGCGGATTTTAGCGTTGTAACTCCATGAACTTATCGCTGTTCAACCGGAGAACGGTCACGAAAATACAGAGACTTTTGTGGGGTTAGTGGGAGCGATGTTTCGCTGAAAATTGGCTTCTGGCGATCAGTTGTTTAAATGCGATTTTATTCTTCTCGTAAACAGTTGTACGAATCATTCAGAACTGTGTACAAATGTCAGAAAAGCCAGCTACGAGAGGTAAGGTCGCAAAATGGTCAGAATGTTACCAGTGCATCATATGTGAAGAATGCGGTCACAACGGGAGTACCGTGATCAATTAAATAAATTGAAAAGAGGTAAAAGAAGGTTCACCTCTGACAAAGATGACGGTGCAAATACACTTCTTTAATTTTCTCTGATTAGGTCAGAGGTCACCTGTTTAAGTTTCTAGTAATTCTTGACCAATCGATAGGAAATTGTAGATATTAAGAGTTCTATCTGTGTTACGCTTAGAAAACGTTTTGTTTCGACGTTACTCGAAATTTACATATTTATAGGTCGAGCAAATCTAGTGGCTAGTGAAGGGTTCAAGGTTTAAAGTTTCGGTATATTGTTGCCCTATAAGAGTTAGTGGTGGATGATGTTGACTAGCTCCCTTTCTTCTGTCCTATCAATTCAAAATTATATAGGCTAAGTGCAGATAACCGTCTGGAGTATTGCGTGAAACTTCTGTAAACAAAATAATAAGATACTAGATGGGTTAGCCTAATTCGATGTCTCGAAACATTACTTAAATATATATATACACATATTTTGCTCCATTGATTCAATGGCTAAAACAACAAAGAAATGGCGCAGTTTGCTCCATTACCTTGTAACATAAGCTGGAAACATGAAGTTTGGTGGACGTCGATCAATAACAGACACTGTTGTCGTCTTTCTTGTAGTTATGAACTCTTTACCTGTTTTCTCAACATGTCGTCCGTGTGCGTGACAATGTGAGAGAGGAGTGAAATTGACCACCTCGTGATGACGCGTGGGCTTGTCGATAAAAAAAAAAACAAGAAATAAAAGCTTTTGTAAACAAAGCTAACTTTTAAGTTCCTTTACGTTGCTTGATATTTCAGTCTACAATGCAACGCTTAAAACTTAATTATATATCCGGACACAAAAGATACTTGTGTGTGTGTATTTGGACGTCAGGAAGGATTTCTGTTCGATAATAGATTAAATAAAATCCAAGATATTGTTTTCATTTTTTTTTAAGTCAACACACTAGGTGATTTTTACTGACAACTAGCGGATTTGAAAGCGTTGAGAAATTTTACGTCAAATACATATATTCAATATATATATATATACCCAGTATTTACCTAGTTCGTTTGTACTATATCATCTTTCCATCTGTCTACTTTTTAATTTATCTCTCTTGATTTCTGTCTATTTAATTGCATGTAGAAATATTTGGTTAAAGATGAAGGTATAAACCACAAGGCCAAACAATTGATATGATTTAAAGAAACAAGTACATCCTTAGTCCAGTG